GAAAGCTTTAATCTTCGATTGAAAAGGCCACTTCTATCGTATGGAGTTAATCGAGCGAATACTTAAAAGACGTGAGAGTATTGTGCCATATACGTTTCCCATGACAGATCGGTTCCAATTATCCTAAATCAGTACAAAGGGTTTAAAAACTTTGTGTTTAAAAAGATAGTGGTTTATATGAAACCCAAGGAAGCTCATATATCCGGAGATGGTCCTGATCTTCTATTTAGTTATAAGTGATGGTATTTTGAGCTAGAGAAGGTATCTATGAGATGTTATTCATATATATTATGTTAACGTTTAATATAATCTAACTATAGAAGACCTTTATGATCTCTTCTATCCAGAGAATATCTGCTGATATTTGTGAAGGCCTTTAATGCAAAGAAGTCTTTCGATCTTCTAGGAATAAAAAAATCCTCTGAGGGTTATCTATAGGAAGAAGAACTGAAATAGGTCCCATCGAAATTTTCTATAGATACATGAATAGGTTTTCTTTTACACGGAAAAGGTCCTGTAAATCTTCTGTAGAAAGTGAAAGCTTCTCCTTCAGACATAAGACCCCCTTTAAGTATTTTTTAGATAGAAGACCCCCTGCAAGGATTGCATAGCTAGAACAACACTTACTGGGTTTCTATAGACAGAGGATTTTCTATTCGTTTTCTGTTGGTCTTCTATCGGTAAAAAGTCTCATTAAAATTAGAAATAGAAGTCCTCCTGTACGTTTTCTATAGGTGGGTATGTTGCCCTATAGATACAGATATAGATAGATATATTATCAATCAAGAGGGAGTCTTCTGTTGATTGAAAATATATTGGAGGTCTGTATCTATAGAATGGGTCCACCTATCTACTTATAGAAGACAGGAGGTTTTCTATTTCTAGAATATTTCTATGGGTCATTTATAGATGGAAGGCCTACAGATGGCTCCCTACATATGAAAAACATTATCTATCTATAGGAGACCTCTGGAGTTATTCTAGCTATATAAATCCTATAGGACGTCTTCTGTCTATAAATGACCTAAGGAAGTCCTCTATCTACAGAAGACTTACAGGCCTCTATAAAAAAGGACATAAAGGGGGTCCTCTTTCTACAGAAGACTTAGTGGGGCATATTGAAGTTCTTCCACCTATGTAATACTTATAGGAGGATTCCTATTCCTAGAAGATGTAGACCTACAAGATATCCTCTATCGGAGAACTTATATGGAAGTTATGTCAAAATATGAACATCGGCTATCAAAATACCTGGTCGGGACCTTTAAATTAAGGCTGTTAAAACAATGGATATGTTCTTTGCCCTCCGTATTGTCAAATTACAGTCATTTTATTTGGAAAATATGGATAGGACCTTTAAAATAGCGAAAATTGGGAGGGATCATTATATAGGATGGATCCATATATCCCAGTTTTAATACCAACGATACTAGGAATATGTAGATTGTATGTACAAAGTTCAATAGATCTATGGTATATATTCCCATCTCTATTGAGATGGGAATATATACCCATTATTGGGTCTCCAAAGAATATTTCGGTTTGTTGCTATCAGGGTAAATATAATATATACACAGTTAAAGGGTTTACAAATGAAAAATTTCTCAACGTCCCTCTTGTAGAAGGTGAGAACAGAACTTCGGTAATATATTTGTCCTTATTAAAATATAGATCCAATATATAATTTTCTCCGATTATAAAGAAGTGAAAAACAAATGTTCTTTTATACAAATTCCTTCGTTGCAATTATGATTTTGCAGTATACTTTCCAAATGTATTACTTTCCTAAATATTTCCTGATTTAGTTGATTTCTTTTAGAAAGGGTTCCTTCCCCTGAGTACCAAAAACATCTCTTCTTCCAATTCTTACACCATCCTTAACTAAAAGAATAAACGTGTTTACGAAAAAAAAACCATACCATGCCACAGAAAAGAAATAAAGACACAACTCCCCATGGCAAAATTTTTGCAGCAAGGACCAACAAAACGAAGCCCAAGGATATGCTACATGCTACAAGTGTTGTCAAAAGGTTGAAAGGTTTGTGTGAGAAAATCAACCCGCAAAAGAAATGCACACAAACACGTAGCTACATAACTAAAATTTTGTGACTCTGACACCTGCTGCTACAGCAATCTCCTCAGACCTCCCCCCGCGGTGAATTTGGCAAAATATTATCCTATCCACCTTTTTGAACTAGGGGGAGCAATTGTAGAAAATGCATTTGAATTTTATGCTCGAAAAACATTTGAAGTTGCAACATTATTAGCTGTAGCAAGTTTGGAAATGGCGAGAGCGAGAAAAGCCAAAGCTTGTTCCTTTTTAACTAACTCGAATATTTATATTATGGCTGAAAACTAAAAGTGCAAAAAAAAAACAACATGGAAAACTCTTTTAATTTTGGTAATTCCAGTTTCTGGCTAAAACGTGTAAGTTTTAATTAAAGGAATAACCCAAAGATATTTACCAGCACAATGAAAAAACTGCATGGCAATTGTTGCTTAAATCCAGCAAAATATAGAGAGTTTAAAGTTTTTGGTTTTATTTTGGATTTTGGGAGTAATTGTTGGCTTATTGAAGCAATTTCCAAAACATTTCACCTTAATTTCCAATTTGTTGGGCAAATGAAAGGATGCATATGCCTGAATGTATTTGCAAGGGTTCACTTCCCTTTTTATTGAGTTGGCTGGGAGAATTAAGAATGACAATTTGCTTTTCTTTGTTTCAGAGGAGTTTTCCTTTTTCCTTTTTTCTCTCTCCTTTTACTAAGATGGTAATTTATATGAATTTTCCAAATGTGACTTTGCATAATCATTTGTTATTATAAATTTTCCATCTCTAACACGATGACAAATGTGGGGGGTGGTAAGAATGAGACTGAGAGGTGTCGTTGAGAATATTCTTATTTATGTGCAGAAAATATGGAATGGAAACCCGTTTGGAATTGTGTGACATGAAAAAAATTGCCATATCCTTATTCCCCCAAAGGGAATTGTTGGTAATGTTAAGAAGCAATTGTGAAAATCATGCAATTTATGTGCACCAGGAATAGCTACAAGGACATTGGGGGTATATTTGGATATTGAGGTGTTTGTAACCGAACAAGTGGGAGATTTTTCCTTAACGTCCATCTCGTAGCAACTGAGAAGAAATATTCCGTCATATCACTATGACACAAAATCGACCTCAGGGTCTGGAGGTGGAAAATTTCTTATGGGAATGAAAGCCCTTGGATAGTATCTTAAAAACCTTACAAAACAAATTTACCATGAACCAAATTTTTGAGTTATAGCATGATGGACTGGTTGCTGGTAACTCTAAAGTTTACGATGAAAATTAGTTTGATCATTGGTTGAGGTTATTGCAGATTAATTTTATGTTTGGTAGCTCTAAAGTTCGTGAAGAAAAATCTATGTATCTGTGTTTGGGCTATTACAGATTATTTTTAAAGTGACTTTTCTTCAGTCAAATGGTATGTGAAATATTTTTCTAGAACACATCCTCCCTCTATATCGAATTCTTCTGCGTCTTTTTAGTTCATAGTATTTCGAACCTTAAACAAAATACCACAAAACAAGATTTGTTGACTTGAAATCTAGTCAGTTATACAATTTCAAAGGATCAACACCTTTTCAGTAGACAGACATAGGTCTGTACTGGATTATTAATCTGAAATTGAATCTATATGTCGAATACATAGGTTCGGAATCTCGGAGGTTGAAGAGCCTCATAAGAGGGAACATCAAATATAGAGATCACACCCCTTTTAAAAACTTTGAAGCATCTGGTATTTCGACTATTCAGAGGCTGAAGGACTACCACACCGAAATAATTTTATATTTTTAACATAGACCTCACCATTCAAAGGAATTGGATCTCGCGGAATTGCCATATGGGGTTCTCAGATTGTAAAAGACCTCCTGGCAGGGCTTTGTCAATATAGGGCATATTCATAAGTCAGAACTCAAATTTGAGTAGAAAGTGAAATTGTCTCCGATTCAAAGCGGAATACTGCTGTCAGTAAGAAATAAATTCCATTTAAAATATTTTGAAAATCTTGGCCGCGTCTGCCATGCCCTCATAGATGGAAAATTTAATATAACGCCAATTTAATTCTATCACAGAATTAAGTATTATTTTTAGTCCCTAATTTCTATCCTGCGAACTTTAATATAAATTCCAGGACCACTTTATGTATATTTTCAAAATGATATAGGATATCATATGGTCGACCTCATCCGACTTTAATCCTTTCATTTCTGGTTTTCTACTCCTTGATATGCTAAGACTGTTGCCATTTATGAAAATGTTTAACGTGATCCCTGATATTCTACTACCCCCTAACAACAAAACTTGTGACTGTGACTATTCCGACTACTTAAGGATAATAACCAAATTATGTGCTGCAGTAGCTCACATTTATGAATTGTTGTACTGATGCTTGTCACAGCAAATACTGCTGGTTCTCCTGAGGAGTAAAAAGTAGAGAACTGAATGACAAAATAAAAGAAAACTTGCAACTTATTAAAACGTGTGACATTTTGTGCAATGATTACCGTTGTGGCCCCGGCATACAGAACAACAACAAAAAATGGATACTTGAAACGTGTGAAAGCATGAGTAACAGGATAATTCCTAACCTAGAAGCTGTATGTTAGTATTTATGAAGGCATTTTCCACACAGAGTATGTGATCTGAAGGCATTGATAATTTTTAGCCAGAAACCTTATTGCAATTTCTTTCATTTGTTTTGTTTGCATGAAGTTGTGACATTTGATTGTCAAGTCTGTGTATTTTTTCTGTTTTTGATTTAGATTTTTAATATAATTTTCTTTTGTTTTTCTTCTATTTTTGCAGAAAGAACCCTGTTTTCCATCTCAATTGGTTCGTTTTGCTGACTCCAGTATAACAGCATAATAATCACTGGATAGTGCAGCAGTAGCATCAGCCATTGTCGTCCTCATCAACGCGTCTCATTGTTGTCATCGTCAGGCAAATGTCAAAATGTTTCGTTTGTTGTTACCATCAACAACAACAACGATATCAGGCAAACAGCAACAAATTGCCATACTAATTATATCATTTTTTCTTTGCGTTGATGGCATACGTAATGAGGGTAACAATATGTTGCCGCTGCAACAGCAGCAACAACAACAGCCAATTGAAAATTCCAATTATCAAAGGTAAGTACGGCACATACATAGACATTTTCAACATAAGCAACAACAACACAAAAAATTCAAACGAACTGTTATAACTAGGAAAAACTTATGGCAGAAAAGAGCAGCAGCAACAACAACAACACATTCAAAATCAAAGTGGAAGCAAAAATTAAAGCATCAAACATAGCAACAACACAGTTGAAATGCGTACGGTTTTAGAACTCAAGTAGTTGAGAGCTTGGAGGAAATTGTTACGAACAGAGTCGACAGTTGTATAACCTACATTTAATAGAAAAAAATAGTTCTGAATACGGCTTTTAAGAGCCCTTATGTGTGTGTGTCATTCCGTCTTCTGAATATAATTTGTAAACTCGATACAGACCACAGTTATGGACCAATCGTCTGCATTTAGGTTGGGTTCTGGCTAATAATTCGTTAATATTTAGGGGATGAAATGGACCAACAACTTAATTTTTGTGTTTTTTTTTTTTTTTGTTTTTTGCTCTAAAGGTCACAACACATGACATTTTACACCAGAACGGAAAATCTGAAAACTGACAAAATCTGTATTCTGTGTGTATTCTAAAGGACATAAGTTTATAGTATATCCAAGAGGAGTGGTTGACCTCCAAATTGATACCAATTATATTGTTGTATCTACTCGTAAGAGTTATACGTAAATATTAAGTTGAGGAAACAGAAATCCATTATTTTTTCGGCAGATGTATCTATCAAACAATTTCAGATTTATGCTCTTTGGAAGATTGGCATTGCTTAATTGTCTGTATTTTGGAATAATGAGTTCCCAGACCATAAATAACCTCTTTGCAGAAGTTTTCTACATATGTCCTCAGACCTATGTTAAAATAAGGACCTAATATTAGGACTTTGAAGTAGCTTTATTTGTTTTTCTGCTTTGGGAGAATAAAAAACAATGGACCTATGTTAAACCACATACCTGTTTTAGGAATTGTGAATGTCAAATTTGAGTCCTCCTGATCAGAAACTACTTTGATATATCCATTAAAACCCTTATGATATTAACCTGGCACATATTATTTTCATTTAAAGGAAATTATATAGAATATTACTTTCCTAATCAAGTCTTTTGTGAACTGTTTCCAATGGAACGATAAACTAAATATACGCCAATCCCACATGCATAGTCTAGATTATTTCACACAAATAAACGACGGCACGATGAAAGTAACACTGGTAGTTAGTTTTGCTAAAAACGTTATTAAGTCATCAAACAGACTGTGAACGAAAATTCACGGTAACATAAGTACAAGCATATTAGTAGAACACACACATACACTCACATCTATATAGGATTTTTTATAATAACATTTAATAAGCAAACAAAAATTTACTTTACATTTTCCATTTCTACTTTAATTTCAGTTCTTCGGCATTTAAACCTTCACCTTTACTAGAATTTACACTGGACGATGTTACCATGCCACATATGTTGGCAGCTGGTGGTGGTGCCGGTAGGCCATCTAGTGAAGATGCCAAATATCCCAGCAATATACCGTCAACACCCACATCTCCCAATGCAGCGAATAACGATAACGAAAATGATAATCGACGCTATTCAACCTCGTACACAAATGGCGAAAAGCCATTCTCATTTTCTAATGGCCAGCAACCGGCAACACAATATCAGCAGCAACAACAACAGCAGCAGCACCAGTTTGCCCAACAACTAACCGAAACGCCAATTTATATTTACAAGGATCCATATACAAATGAAAATTATCATTATACACCAACTGAGCCCAACAGTTACAATAAGGATGTGGTGGTTACCTCGCCATATAATCAGCAGCCAAATGCCCAGAGTTTCCAGTCGGGATATTCACCACCTTCAGCCCCCTCTGGCACACAAGATAATCAAGAATATTTGGTGCATTCAAGCATGATAGTTGGTACGCAACAACAATCGCTGCCACCCGCCAATAAGGATGTATATCTGAAACGTCCTGGCATGGTATACGATGAAAGTTATATCACACATCCGAATGCTGTCGTAGAGAAGAAATCCGAAGTTGCGGCGGCGAAGAAAACAAATAAAATATCCTACGATTCACATGATTACCCGCCGCCAAGTTATCACCAGTTACAGACATCGAATTTCTTGCCCACACCAAATCCGGAAGGACCGGTCAGGGCAACGCCACCGCCAGTTATAAGAGATACACCGCCACCTCCTCTAAGGGCAACACCTCCGCCACCGCCTTCCTACTCGCAATCAGCTAACAATTATTATGCTCGCCCCACATCATCACCGCCAGCCTATGTTACACCACGTCCTTCTTCGTATAGCGATGAATATAGGCCTAAGCCTCCAACTTCGCCATTTGGCCAACAATATTTGCAATCATCGCAGAATGTCTTACCTAATTATGTAAACAATTTGGATAATTATTTATCGAACAAACAGCAAACACAGTATTACCGGCCTGAGCAGGCTGGTGGTCCTCCAGCCCGTCCTCCTGATGCTTTGCAATATCCACAATATGAGGAGAGCATACCACCTCCGTACAGACAACAGCAACAATATCAACAACCATCCTCTTACCCACCTTTTGAACAGCAACATTCAGCCTATCCCCCTTATCAAAGTCCGCAGTATCCCAACAGTCCTCCTTCCCGCCCTCCTCCACCACCACAATCACAACCACCATTTCCATCAAGACCATCTTATAATAATTATTATGACTATCAAATTGGCGAAGTACCACCCCAAACCCAAGGAGCTTTTAATTACCCCTATCCCAGACCACCACAACCTCCACCCAACAACAACAATGGTGCCTATAGACCACCATATGTGCCACCTTCAACCACCCAGCAACCGAGTGGTTTGGCCACTCTCGTGCAGTATGCACCACAGTTCACATCCCTGCTTTTGGGTGGTGGTGGTTCCTCCTCGAACAATAATAGTCCATTAGGTAGCTTGTTAGGTGTACTAACGGGTGCTGGTAACTCCCCGCAAACTTCGTCGTCTTCTTCATCGTCATCATCTTCGCTGCTCAACCGTCGACCCATCAACTCCCAGCTCATTAAGGCATTGGAGAACATTGCACGCAATGACGATTTGCAATGTGTGCCAAAAGTATTGTGCCAAATGATTGCCTCGCAAACACAACGTGGTCAGCTGCCCAGTTTTATAACATCACCGGCCATAACCAAGTGAGTAGTTGTAGTTGTTGTTATTTGTAGGCATACATTCATTGTAAATGTCTTATAAATTTTAGTGTTAATGACAGGGCAGGGAAAATTGTGGGTTAGAGAGATAAAAATTGGGTCACAATAGGAATATCGAATATTTGTATACCCTACACTATTGTACAGGACATTTTTTGACTTTAAACATTTTTGTAGTATAGAAAGGGTCAATGGGAAATGCGTCTGGGACCTTCAAACCTCATGAAAGAGCGGGGCTATGTCAAAACGAAAATCTTTATTGTAGACTGTGTGTAATACAGTCGTCTTATCCTCTTTGAACCTGATGTTCAAAATATGTATCCGTCAGTTGGAAAAACTTGGCTCGGGTCTTTAAAATACATAAAATTGGATCGGGCCCTTACATAGGGATAGACCAAAGGATGGGCGTAATCTGAAACCGAAAGACAAATTTTGTAAACCTATGTCAATATAGGGATCTATATTGAAAATTATTTTCAGGAGTCATTCCATCCTCTAAAAAATAGAAAATGAATATTATAAGCTCATAAGTTGTATCGAAAATGGGGGCTGTTACCAATCGTGGGCCGATATATCACATTTCAATACAAACATGGATGAATTATCCGAAATTTTTATAATTTATCTACCATAACATTTAAATGTATCTTCTCCTCCTTTTCAGTTTCTTGGCTGCATTCCCTGCTTCTTCGCCGGCATTAATTTACGGCAGAGCTGCATTACTGGGTATTAGTGGTGGTGACCGAAGTTGCCATCAAACCTATGTCAAATGTCCCAAAAATGAGGTAAACAGCAACAACTTTTTCTTTTAGCTTTCAAATTGAATTTTTAATTGAATGCCCTTTTTTGTCTATTCCTTCTTCTTTTTCTTGCAGATCGAAATCATTAATTATTTGAATAATTATCGTGGCGGTTTCTTTAAATTCTTTAGCGAACCGGATGACCAAACATTTAATCAACAAAACGGAAATCATGAGTCTGGCGGAGCCACATCATTGTTTAGTATTTTGTCTGCCTTGACGGGAACACCCGCACAGCCACAAGTTACTACACCCAGACCTCGACCCAAACCTCAACCACAGGCACCATCTTCCGATATAACCGAGACCATTGGTAATTTCTTTACAAATCTATTGTCGGATTATATGGGCGGTGGTGCTGTGGTGGAATATCAAAGGCGTAGTATGAGACGCAAACGAAGTGCGGCCGAAAAACGTGTACGTTTCGAGGATAACGATGATGATGAGAATTTTAATTTTGATGATGATTTCAATGATGAGGAGGATACCGAAGATACAGAGAAAAATGTTGAATTTCAATATGAACCTGAAGATAAAAATGGTTCAGAGTCGAGGGTGATACATCGTGTAACATTGTCAAAAGGTAAACGCCTGAAATTCTTTCCCGAAAACAATGACGAAGAAGCAGAAAACGATAACATCCATGACGAACAAACAGAAAATTTAAGAAAAGTAATTGAAAAATTTAATGCATTTAATAAAGAAAGGAAATTAAAGTTCCCCTCCGAAACCTCCGAACGTGAATATCTTGATGTGGCCGAAGAGAACATAAGAGGTGGCAAACAATTAGATAATAATCCAACCGTGCAACAACAAATAAACTATGGTCATCAATACAATAATTATGAACAACAAAACTACATTAGGGGGCAGGATAATACAAATAAAATTAAATTTTACAATGATCCCGAGGAACATGGCAAAGAGCTGAGGGATTTAAGTGTGGCCGAAAGCCAACACAGTGGTAAGAAAATTCGATTTCCAGAACGTGAACCAAAAATTTTAAACAGGCCACCGTATGCGGCCTCCTTTTCCTATAATCAGCAGCAGCAAACACCTCCGGAGTATGGAGAAAATGAAGACCAATATCAAACAACACAAAATCAACGGCCCAACTACTACAAAGAATTAGAAGAAGAACAACAACAAGCAGACCTATATAACAATCAACCCGAATACGAGCAGCCTCCATATCAACCCAATCCCAATGATTACAATCAATATCAAGCACCAACCACACCACAAAACTATTATGGATTTAATCAGGGCCATCCACCAGGCGCCAATATTTATAATACCCACCTGACATCGTTGAATTCGCTTAACAATTATGTTAGTAATTCGGCAACAAATCTTAACTATTTTCTAACTACCCAGCCACCTTCGAATGCAGGAGGTGGATCAAATTATTTCTTGCCCACACCTGCTCCAGATAATGATGAGGATAATGATTTTGATAATCATTTGTACAATAATAATAACAACAACTACAACTTGGCAGCAAATCATCAAAATTATAATCCAAACTACAACAGCAACAACAACAATTATTTCAACAAATATCAAAAATATACAAAGACCAAAATCCAAAACTATAACAGATATGAAAAATACACGAATTCGAATTCAAACAATTTAAGTCCAACTCAAACATACAACAACAGCAACAGATATAGGCCAGTGTACAGCAGTCAACAGCAGAGTGGTGTCTATAATAATAACTATAACAACAACAACAGCAATAACTACAACAATCGTTATCACTCCTCCTTGTACGATAGGCGTACAACAACGACGACCACAACCACCCCCCGACCCAATGACAATAATATATATGTCACAAATGCTAGAGGTGAAACCGAATATTATATAAGACCAGATGGCCGTAAAGTTTATTTATAAACAATTTCATATTAACTTATACACATTTATATGTATTTGTAAAGTGTTGCGGTTTATTGTATATTTATATTAAAATTATTATTATTTAATGTAGTCTAAAAATGCATTTATGTAAATAATCAATGTATAGTTTGTAAAATAATAAATTATTTATATTTATAAAACATATTTGAAAAGAGTTGTTATTGCTTTCATTTCTTTATTTGATTTAGTTGATTGTCATCCTAAAAGTATGCTTTAAATTTGGTTAATTAAATCCATGCACTTATGGTGCTACTGTATCATGGACGCATACAAGTTCTACACTTGTAGATGTTAATGGCGATCTCTAGATATAAAACGGAGCAACATTATCTCACAATTCCATGAAGGGGGACAGGGAAATGTAGGAATAGGAAGAATATTCGAAATGTTGATTTCAATATTCACCTAAGGTAGACTGGTAACAATTTTCTTTTCAATTTCATAAAAACACAAAATGCAAAAAAATTTTAAAAATCTGAGGAAAACTCCCTTCGATATAACCCTTGGCCACAATGTCAGATTGTATTGACCATAACTTCTAAACGAATACGCATGCCTTCACAGTTAAACAGATCGCAATTTTCTCTTTAAAAAAATTATATGGAAACGATTTTTTAGGTCCTAGTACTATTCAACTAAAAAATAGAAGAAAACTCAACTTTTCCTTGGGCCACATTGTCATTTACTATTGACAATTTATCGCATTGGCAGCTAATTTTGGTGTTCTAAAATCTTTATACTACTATTGAAAAGACTAAAAAAGAAGTCGACTGTGATCTTTAAGAAAATCGCAAAGTCGACTTTTCAAGATCGACTTTTGATTTTCTTCATAAATACTTGGTTTTTTATCACAATGCCGAAATTTCCCTAAAATTTCACATTCCAGAACTTTATATAATCTGTTGGCAACAATTATTATACAAATTTTTACAAAATCAAAAAGTCGACTTTTTACTCAAAGGCAAAAATCGAAATGTCTAAAAATCGACTTTTTGGTCAGAGGAAAAAGTCTAAAAGTAGACTTTTACCGCACGACTATATATTCCTACTCTATACCTCATTAAACTTTCAATATGTCTAACATCTGTGTGAGTTAGCAATCTTGAGCGACCAGATGTGATACATTTCGATTATATATTTCGTCTTTTACGAACAATTTGTACAATATTATGAGATAATTTTTTAAGTATTTAGCTATTTGTCTGCATGACTGCCCAATATCAGTCGGATGTACTATTCGATCTTAAATTTTAAAACTTATATTTCTGATGTTGTGGATACAAATTAATTATCAATTTGTATTTTAATAAAAATTTAATTAAATCGTGAAACTCGACTAAAACTTTTTAATGTGCACACAAAATCGATATCACGCCAACACTGAATCAAAAATACCGGTAAATTATAAATTGGTACTTGCAAAGTAACATAAACCAACAAGAGCAAAAGTGTACGAATTACAATTTATTGTTATCGTTCACAATAACCAGATTTTCTAATTATTATTTTTTATTATTTTTTGCACAATGATATAATCTAACAAATAGTTAATAAACATTCCTAGTTTCACTGAAATATATTTGCTAAAACAATTTTCATAGATATTACAGTAAAAAAAAATACTTTTGCTCGCCAGTGTAAATGGAGAGTCGAAGAGTGTTGAAAAAGGTTAAACAATGGTACCTGATAAACGAGTAGAGGTGGAAACCTGATTGGTATTTTGGATTAATTTTGAAAAAGTTGAAAAGATAGCTCTTTTAAACATCAAATGAAAATATCACTCAGTTAATAGAAATCCCAAACGAAGTTGAGGGAGTACATCTCCGGTTTCAGAATTAATATAATATAGTATCACTACAAACTAGTTGATCTATCCAAGTTAATTCACCTCTGTTTGTTGTTACCACCAATACATCTAAGTTACGAACCATACATTATATTTGTGACTAGTAATAACAAATAATAGAGGGCAGTAGTAGTTAGACAACTTCATCCCACTTACCTTTTAAAATCCTATCGCTCTGCTGTATCAATCAATTTATAGAGTTAACACTCCATATATATTCGAAATTATGTTTTTTTTAATATTCACTTTTCTATAACACCGAATTTCGAATATTATTTCTTGGCTAAATTATGTATGCTTTATCTATGCCCACAAAAATGGAAACACCTTTTATGGTTGAAACCCGAACTACGTGATAAACACTTTTAAACCGAAAACACATATTTATCTATCGAAGCTTTCGTAGTAAAACAAAAACAAACATAACCAACACTAATTCACCGGGAAACGTAATATCAACGGAGAGGATGTGGAGCTTTTGCTCTCTTTAACGCGAAAAGGCGGAAACGTTGTTGCAAAGGGATCATACTTTTTTTCATTAAAAGCTTTTTGTAGCCAAACGCGTAGAGATTTCATTGAACAAAGCCTAGGGGATACATACACACACGAACACTAACAACATATTTGCCATTTTTTGCAATCGATAATAGAATATTCCATAATACATTTATTACACAATATGAACGGATGGATTTTACACATTTGTTTGTATTCAACCTTTTCAATTATTTCACAAACATATTATTATCTCACTTTTCTTTAATAATTTGGCAACAAAAACGGACCGATCACAACAACGGACGTCTACACTTTATGAACGCGCTGGAAGAACTAAATGACTGGGCAGTTCTAGAACTTACTCTTGCCGATATGGGAAATGAGAGCGGCTTAACGAAGATATAGCATTGTTATTTTTTTAGGAGTGTGGTTTCAATGGAAAATGGAAGAAATATGGAAGTTAATAGTGTTTAAGTTATTTTATATTAATTGAATTTTTTCAGAATATATGCGGAGTAGCACGACGAAACATTAAGGGCTGAAAACGCCACGAAACAACAAAATAAATGTACGTCCTTTGATGTAAAAGCCCAAACATAGGCCTATTGAAGATCATTTCTTTATAAATCAATTCATAGCGGCTGTTAAATAAAATAAACTGGATAATCTGTCTGAAAAATAGGTGAAAGTGAGGTGATGAAATGAATTTTCAGTTTTTAAAAATACGTTGGGTTCATTTGGGCCCTAATGTTTTCAGTTTTTAAAAATATGTTGGGTTCACATATTATTTTTTATGTACATTTATATACTCGATAAGAATAAAATTATATTTATATTTAAGATAAACCTTCATAACAAATAAAAAACAGAATATGTCGAACATCGTTTTGTTGTAGCTCTCCATACAGTAGAACCCCTTAATATTGAGATTTTATATATGTTTTTAAAACGAATTAGTTTTCGATATTTTTGGTTCTCATTAAGTGGTAAATCTTCTTACTATACCCACATTTGGGTATAGCGCCCATATAACGAAATGTCCAATTTTCGGAATTTTTATAATTTCAGATACGCATTTACAATGAATTAGTTGATAATCTTGGCGTGAAAAATCCAACCATTCGGCATTCCAAATTCTTGGATGGGGAAATCCAAAAATTTTGGGGAAGATGTTACCTTGCAACTCTAACTGATCTGGCATTTGTTTGTTAATTATACCTTCTGCCTTTTTGCTTTTTTAAATTTAATACCGTTTGGTCCGTTAATTTGTGGTGGTAAAGCTATATTCAAAACATTTGGCAAATATCACTATATCACCTTTGAATTTAACACTGGTCATCATGATAAAGATCCAACAAAATGGTAAAATTACAGATATTGATAACCCTGCTGTGAGTGAATTGAAGTTGTAGATTTTTTTGTACCTTTACTCTATTGAATCACAAAATCAACATTCCCATTCCCAACAACCATACAAGTGTGTAATATTAGAAAACAATCCTTAACATAAAATTCTTACCTTGAAGAAATGCCCATTTCTTTACTCTCCATTTCCATTTCTTTGCTCTCCTCAACTCACGAGAGCTATAGATATCAAACGACGATGGCGGGGACTGCGACGACAACGATTGTTAAGAAGACCGAGGAAGACACGAAAAACATAAACAAACGAAATGAAACCACGGCATGACTACTTACTTAAACAAATAGTAGAAAGAAACACATAGCCCAACTTTATTTAACACAACATTTTCTATTGGCAAATAATTATTTTTTAATTTATATTTTAATGATTTGATAAATTCAATTAAAACATTTGAATCAAACACTTTTCACTTTTCCAATAACTTTGATTAACAAGGAGGAATGCAAACATTGATAATGATAAGGAGGCAAAAGAACACACAAAGAAAAAACGTAAACAGAACATAGATGGTCAACATGCAAATAAACTAAAACGCGATAAAATTAACAGTTTCAATAACAATTTTGGATTCACTGAATTGGTTTAAACTAATTATAAAAGTTTACAAATGACGAATCAATAAATTATTGCCGAAATTACAGAGAACACGACTCGCGAAACTCCCGACAAATTTCACGCGCCCGGTTTGAATGATAACACACAAAACAACTGAAGAGAAAATAAGTGTAGGGTTGCCCTTTTCCATGTAATTAGATTAAAAATGTGATGGACTACATTTAGTCATTTAATTTAGGAATTAAGGAAGTATTTAATAACATGATTTAAAATACTTAAAGAGTAATTGTAACTTCCAATAAATATTTATTTTTATTAACTATTATTGTATGGTATTGTAATGTAAGGTAATATTTATTGTCGACGATAAGCAATTTTAGTTAGCATATTTTGAAAGAATTCAATACCTAGTAAAAAAGTGACAGTCGGTGTTTTTGACAGTTATTTCAAAAACTCTATTTCAAAAAATAATGCGAGCTCTATAGTTATTTCAATAGACGAACAGAGAGACAGATGGACAAGGCTAAGTTGACATAGGATTTTATCAAAAATATGTTTATGAGTTTTGCCAATAAGGGCGATGATCATTTATTATTTTTAAACATTTTCTCTTTTGAGTCGAGCTTAAGGATCGAAGTTTTTGAAATGAAA